AAGCAAAAAACATAACATTAAATTTTATGTTTGATGATTTTTTGCTTTTTACTCTACTGCTGTTGCCAAAAACATCCTGTGGTGAAATGCAGTACGGTTATCCCGACAGGGTAGATAAATTACAGACATGTTAAATATTCAGAACTAGATTAATTGTATTTTTATTGTAAAATTTAAAAAGTTTTTATCTAGGATTGATTTCTTCCTCTTGTGGAATGTGGGAGCTGCAGCATGTAAATCATTTTTTATTCCTCTTGCGTTAAATAAGGAGCCCTCATTCTTTAATCTTGGTCTCATAAACTATCAGTGAAAATACAACTCAACTCTTGATGACTATGGAAAACATTTTTTTGAGCCCAACAGCAGCAAAAAATGTAATTTTGCCAAACTGTGCGAAAATGACGACACGGGTAGGAAACGCATAGGGTGTGGTGATTAAAAGTGAAATTGTACTTCTGTTTGCCTCCGTCTCATCCAGGCACCTGAACCTATCTGTGCGTCCAAAGCAGCTGCCAGCTTTGGTCCGGAGCGGCATCCCTGAGGCACTCCGTGGGGAGGTGTGGCAGCTTCTGGCAGGCTGCCACAACAACGACCACCTGGTAGAGGAATACCGAACTCTCATCACAAAGGTAAGACCACACAGAAGAATTTCTAATGTGTGGGACAAATCTATATTTGTGGTGCCTTTTTATGTAGAGACAGTTTTAAAACGCATACTCCTTAGCATAAGTTCAAATTTGGGATCGTCATTACATTCTAGAAGGCTAAATTTTACTGCGGTTTTGCGTTAAGACATTGCTCTACATGTACAGAACCTATTGAGGATTGAAATGACAAAAAGTACATGTTGAAATATATACCGTTGACTGTCTTTCCACCAGGGTTGACCCTAATGGTGGTTCTTAACTGGTTTTGAAAAATAACTTTGCTTTTATAGCACCTGATAGCCAAGATGGAGCCACATGAGTCAGAGGTTTGTCCTTTGACTTCCAGCACATTTTTTTGTTTAACTAAGGCAGGTTTGTTTTTTTTGCTGTTTTTCTCCTTTAGAACATTACTGTGGTTCTCCGTAGTAACTTTCCAAATTTATTTGTGCTTCTTTAGGAGTGCACCTTGGGGGATCACCTTTAGCCATGTTTCATAAGGTTTTTGTCTCACATGTGGTTTTAAACTTGTGAAGGTCACAGCCGGTTCTCTCTAGATAAGGCTATCAGATAACGGTATTATTCAAACGCTACACCTTTGTTCCTAAATAGAAAATGGCTTTTTTATTGTTCAGTGAAAATTCAAATGATACTTTTTTGTACTTTAAACAGAACAAAAGTTACACTTATTTATTTTGAAGAAAGAAATGTAGTAAGTACATTAATGAATATACATTTGAAAATAAAATTATCATGGCACACAGTTGACCTCTGCACAACGTCACTGACAGCCATAGAGGCACTTCTACAGTTCTGGTTTTAAATTTGATTTAACTTTACTTTTAGATGATGGTAGATATATTTATCAGTTTGAATGTTTCTTATTTTGTTATTATTATTTTTTAGTTGAATCATGAATTAGATTTTTCCCCTGTTCTATTAAATCAAGGACACACATTAAGAGATAAATTATGTGTTTTGCCTGCAAGTGTCAAGAATAAGGTTAAAACCTTAAAAGTCATTGTTTTGTGGTAATTGTTCTTATGTAAAAGCAATCTCCCTAGCAGCAAACTGGCTCCCACGAGGTAAAATGTTGGCCTTTCTGCTTTCTCATTTTCTTTACCTCAATTGTTCTGAAGATCTTTTCTCATCACCATCTATATATAAAGCCTCATGATCTCATGTTCTTGATATCTGTTCATTCTTAGATGAATACTGATCAGTAGGGAAAGTTGTGTTGGAATTTTATTCAGCAAAAAGTACAGAAATGTTATTATCCCCTCGGCATGAATGTATGAATGGAATCTCAACTTTATTTTTGACATCAATAACAGTAAATATCCACTCTCCAGAAGGCTGGACAGCAATTCACTGCAGAAGCTCTTAAGAATTCAAGATACTTACATCAGCCAGGAGACACTAGCTTTGCTAGCTTCATTCCAGTTAATTTCTCAACTTCATTTGTGGAGGATCCTATGTTGACATTTGAATTCATCTCCATGTATGACTACATGCCACATCTTTTATTAATGCACATTAGGTCTGTGCAATAATTAATTGCACAGTTGTTTGATGGTTAAATCTTGGCTGCCTGAGTCACAGTTGCCTTATTTGCTTAATAGTGAGCAGGTTACCTGGACAAGAGCGTTGTGCTCATTAAACTAACTTTAGCAGTAATGAAAAACCACTCACTGTTAGATTAAGTCCTTGCAGATTATTTATTATTTATGCAAAAATTGGATTTGTTCTTTACAGCGCTGTATGGTTGGTTAGAGTAACTGTGCGTCTTTCACCTGTGTCAGCTCCTAGACATGTTACATCAGATAGCATAGTTCACACAGTTACCAGGGCCGACTTATACTTGACTTGGTGACAAAAGGACACGTCATCATATTTAATTTTCCCCTCTGCTTCACGACTCTTTGCTTATCACTGATATTTTTGTCCCAAACTTCTGCATGTCCTCCTCTTCCTTAATAGGCTGCTTGTTTTGACTCTCATCCTTATCCCCCCCCATTCCTTCCCTTCTTCCAGCCCTTTAGTCCTACTGTCATCTATTTTTAGCTCCTCGTGTAGTGCACTGAGGAGGTGCGTGAAAGCAGGGGGAGAGTGTCTGGATTGTTGGGGAGAAAGGTGCAGGCGTGGGGGTGTGCATGTGTGTGTGTTCAAGACTGTGTGGGTGTGTCTGAGCCTCCATCACGCTGCCCGAAATTTTCTTGCACGAGGCAAATTCTGCAGTCTTCAGAAAGTCATCGAGGATGGAACACAGAGTGCTGTGCTAAATCTGACAGTAATTACTACCCGCTGAATTTTCTAATTTTGGATTTTGAGTAATTCTGTGTAATCTGCCCATCATGTGAGCTAGAATAGTGTGAGCAATTATGCTCACAAATGTTCATTAGACTCTAGGCAAAGCTGCAGATTTGCTCTTGTGATTAAAAAAACCTGCTGTAGGTTGAGAAAGGTGGGAGGAAATAATTAGATTATGCTCTGTTGGTGGGGTTTATTTTCGACAGGAGCAGGATCTTCCATAAAATCAGAGACAAATTGTTACATTCCAGTAATAATTTTAAGTTTGCCAACCTCAATCTTACTTTTTCTCCAGTGACTATTTTTCTGAGCACATGTACAAGTAAATGAATTTGTTACAGATTGGAACACACTGATTTTACATTGGTCATGTCAGATTATTTGGGTGGTTAATACAAAAAGAAAAAGTCTCTTAAATAAGTTAAATCTGAATGCAATTTATAATAAATTAAAAATATATATATACAAACAAGGGTTAGACAAATATGGCCTGACATATAAAAGAGAATAATTTCTTAAATACTTAATTTTTTTGTTTAAGCTGTTCACTAAACAAGCTGTATAACATATGTGTCTTAAGGGAAAAAATACTATTGGTGGAAGTCAGAATTAGTAGGTCCAACCTCAAAGAAAAAGTAGATTATTATTGGCCAGAAAATGCTGATCGGTACATCTTTCTATTTTACTCCCACTATTTTTGTTTCTTTTGTGTTCCATGTTTTAAAAAGTCACCTTGTTGGTTTCAGATTTAAGCAAATTTATAGAATTACCGGACTGGAATGTTGAAGCTAATAGAATTTCTTTCTTGCTTCTGTAAATCCACGAAAATATCACTTTTTCTAAGTGTCGCTTTAGTGGCTTCAGTCTTGCTACAGATGCAGATGTTTTTATACTTCTATTTATGTGACTGTGCACCATTTTGTTGATTTTTTTTCCTAAATTTTTTATTGCAAACAACTTTGTGTTCTAAGGGCTATCATTATTTGTGCAACATTATGACTGCATCTTTTGAGCTATAATGAATTCACAATGAATGCTTATAATTTCTTATTGTTTGAGCATATCATTACCACATGATGTTGCACTTGCAATCATGAGTTCTCAGCAGAATGCCTGAAGCATTTGGCCCGTTGTTGTAGAACACTATCCCAGCCACAGTATTCGACTTGAGAGGATGTTGTTGTTTTTGAGTCTGCAAAACAGCCTCTAATGCTTAAAATAGCATTCTCTAATTTTCTTTTTGGATAAGTATAAAAATGCCAAACTTTAGCTTTTTTATTTTTTTACTTTAACTATGCATATACATCATTAAACTACTACTACCATTTTATTGTTGAATATTGTGATGATAATATCAATTGCAATTACTCTCCATATTCTTTACTGTATTTCCTTTTTTGGTTCAGGTATTTAAATTACATTGAAAAGCTATCCAACTGATTATCTACAGTATATTACTAACAAGCAGTCTTGGAGTATGTATTGAATTACAACTGTCATTGCAACAACATTATGTGCAATATTGTAATCGCAGAAGACACTTTGTAGGCCATATTTTGTATTACAACCGTGCTCTTTATTTACCATGCAGATAATTTAGCCCACATTTGAAGTATATCATAATTATCCAAATCTAAAAGCTGTGCTAGAGTTATTGGAGCATTGGGAATTTGGGGAAAAACTTGAAAGCCAATTAACTTTACTTTTTGATTTAAAAATTTAAGCTACGCTTTTAGTGTACTAGTTCATTCTAGCAACTGGCCTCGGTGCATATGAATAAGACTTTATTGAATACTGATATTTTAAAAGTTTGTCCTTGATGAGATAAATTAAAAAATATCAGCAGCATTCACACAGAAACAATTCCTGTTATTTCTCCCTTCACCCTAAATGATGATTTTCCAAGTTCAAAACTGCACTGATTGTTACTAATTTTGGTGGCGTGAAACTGATTCAATCTCGACGTGATTATTAGATAAATTTGCACATTTAAAAAAAAAAAAAAAAGTAAATGTGAGAGGTTGGGGGAAGGAAACAGTCTTGTGTTTTTGTGGCTGATGATTGGTTGGAGGCACTGAGACTGGGAGGGGCTTCAGTGCTGCTGTTTCTGTAGACAGAGGCAGAAGGAGGGAGACAGAGTGTGAGAGAGACGACAGAGCAGGACAAATGAACACAGAGGGGTTCTCCCAGCATCGGTATGCCTGCCTTTCACATTTCAACTCCAGACGAAGTTGCTTCTCTTGAGGCGGGAAATAAACCTATGGGTGTGTTTTACTCCACCTCTGTGAGGACTGTTTTTTGACTTCTATAATACTACACTCTGCTGACTTTGAACCAGCGTACAGTGACCTGCTGGGATCTTACAGTGAAGGACCAAAGAGAAGCTGACACTCCAATAAATGCAGATGGAAGCCTGGTGAAAGAAGAAGTGAAGAAGAGCCAGAAAAGTGGGAAAGTGGTTTGAAGGACAGCATAAGAATCAGATTATGCTTAATCATTCCCTCAATATGCAGTTCTTTAAACAATGACTTTTCTCTGGAGGATTTAACAGTGACCTGATGGACTACAAATTGGTAGGAGCTACAGCTTGAGATTTCTGGATTTGCATCTGACATTGAGGATCTCAACATTCATAAGAGTCACATTCTTCCTCTGTGCCTTTACCTGGGAACCTTCCGACAAAGGTTTTTACCTTACTTGTACTGTAACCGCACCAGCTCTGAGGACAACACCAGGGAACTTTTTGACACCTTTATCTGCCCTTTCAACCCTTCCTGTGTTTGAAATGGAGCATGGGGGTCTTTGTTTGGACTGAAATCAAACTGCTGATAAATACAGCCGGGCTACTAGGGTTAATAGTAGCTTTTTGGATTTATTGTACCCTGTAAGAACCCCCTTATGTGTTTTACTGCCTGAGATCATGAATTCCTCTCTGGATTCCCTGAACCAAAGCTCGCTGGACTCAAATTTATCCACTCCCTTTTGCTTACTTGAAATTGCCTATTCCCAAATTTTTAGCACATGCCTCCTTGAGGTATCTGTCATCCTCCTCCTCACTATCCTTATTATCTGTGGCAACCTGGTGGTGATATTTGTGTTTCACTGTGCTCCTTTGCTCAGCCAGCACACCACCAGTGCTTTTATCCAGACTATGGCTTATGCAGATCTGTTAGTGGGAGTCAGCTGCCTCTTCCCCTCCCTGTCTCTGCTTCACCATCTGCAGGGATTGGATCCCAAACTGACCTGCCAGGTGTTTGGGTACATGGTTTCAGTTTTGAAATCCGTTTCAATGGTGTCCCTCGCATGCGTGAGTGTAGACCGCTATATCGCCATCACACGGCCTCTGACTTATTCATCTCTGGTCACTCCTTGTCGAGTGCGCTGCTGCATCGCTCTAATATGGTTCTACTCTGCTTTGGTGTTCCTTCCATCTTTTCTTGGGTGGGGGAAGCCTGGCTATCATGGAGACGTGGTCGAGTGGTGTGCAGTCGAGTGGAGGACTAGTCCGGCTTTCACGACCTTCATCGTTGCTCTGCTCTACGCTCCAGCTGCTCTCACAATTTGCTTTACATACGCCAACATCTTTAAGATCTGCAGACAGCACACTCGGGAGATCAGCGAGCGCCATGCTCGCTACAGACCACAACAACAGCAAGGTCCCAGACTGACTGGTGGAGCGGTCATGAAAGATTGCACCATGGTAGAGCAAGAGCAGCTTCCTCAATTGTCCCAATCGCAGAAGACCCAGCACCACCAGCCTCAGTATCAGCAGTCTACTTACCCTGACAAGCGATACGCTATGGTATTGTTTCGCATAACCAGTGTGTTCTACATCCTTTGGTTGCCCTACATCCTGTACTTCCTGTTGGAGAGCGGAGGAATATACCACCACCCTGCAGTCTCGTTTCTTACGACATGGTTGGCTATCAGCAACAGCTTCTGCAACTGTCTCATTTACAGCCTTTCCAACTCAGCATTTAGAAAGGGCCTGAAACGCCTCTGCTCCTTCTGCCTGCGGCGTGGTGGCGATGGCTTCGGAGTTGGGAAAACCAAAAAGGCGTTTGTTGGCTCGGTTGAAAAGGGATGCACAAAGCAGTGGTATGGAAATGACAATGGAGACATGAGAGTTGGCACAACATGTCATGTGTAGTTCAGATGGAGAGGAAAACACAGAGCTAAAATGAAGTTTCGGCTCTTCACATCTTTTAAAATCTGCAGATGGAAGAAGGTGTCGTCGTGATTGTGCTTTTTCTGACTCTCCCTTGACAAGCCAGCAAAGGTAGAGAATAAGAATGAAAAGCATTGTAATTTGAAAAGAAAAAAAGTCCATATTAGCCTTTCAAGGTGTTTCGTTTGATGATGTGAACACAAGTTCATATGGACAGGAGGCTGACAGATGGGAGGGTTCTGGTATGAACAAGAAGAAGGTCTCTATGTCCTCAGTGGGAGTAAATTCTTTAAACATTGGACATAATGTTTATCTGCTGATGCTGTTTTTGGAACTGAATACTTGATTTTGTCCAAACAACCAAATGATGCTAGAAGCAGAAAGTTCTCATGAAAAGTTTTACGAGCTTTGTTTGGAGCAACGTGATATTCGACAATTTGTCGCGTTTCACTTAAAAAGGAAAAAAAAAAAAGAAAAGATGTCAGTCCAGTCAGGTCAAGGATCTGATGTGATTAAATGAGACTGTCTGTAAAGAGCAAGCGTAGTCAAACTGATCTTTAAATAAATGTAATTTATTGATGCTGTTAAAATGTCTGTTGAAAATGTGGGTTTGCACTGTGCACCTGTTATTTGCGAAAAGGACTTTGTAGTAAGACTGCACAACTGCCAAAAAATCAAATGTAGGGTTCAGTAACATTCATGCTGAAAGAGTCACAATCAAAATATAAGTCATTAATAAAATAAAACCATTCTTTGATAAATTATTTGACATTTCAATTGACGATACTGTCAAAATCTCTCAATAGTATTCCAATATTTGTGTAATTCTTTTGGGTTTTATGCTAATCAGTGAAAATGATTTAACAAACATTTTCACTGTTTGCTAAAATCAAACAGTGAAAATGTTCTAAAACGAAATAATAAAATGCTTTAATTAATCAATTACTGAAAAAAATATGATGTAAATATTTCATTATTTATTTATTTATTCAATTTTTAACCTTTAAAAACATAAAGGGTTAGGGCTAGGGGTTAGGCCTAACCCTAACCCTATAGGGTTAACCCTAACCCTATATCTACTGGTAGTTACATGTACCTTATTTGATTTGGAAGAGAGCAAACGTCTCAAGAAAATATGGACCTATATGATTGTGAAAGTATGCAAAACCACTCGTAGATTGGTGTGAGACTTGAAGATTTGTGTGCATGTTAGTACTGTCTTTTATGTACATTAGTATAAACAAATTGTAGGAAAAAAAAAACATTTAAAGGAGCTTAATTGTTCATTTCCACTTGTCAAGGTATGTGGTTTGAGCTTTCAAGACTTGTTCGTCAAAGTAAACATTCCTTAGTTTTATATCTCTTCTGCAGTAATGTGCCAAAGAAGGTCCAATTTTGTCTCTAAGTGTGATATTTGCAATATGAGTGATTTTACCAAAAATATTTTCCACTGTCTACTGCACTGTGTCGCATCGGTGATGCCTTGTGTGCATGTCTAAGACTGTTTCTGAGCATATTGTGATATAAAGTTGCCTTTGTTTAAAAACTAGAAACAATACGTCAACTGTTGGGGAAAAGTGGTTTTCTTTAACAGCAAGTGAGGGCTAAAATAAAAGGCATGTGACTGTTTTTAAATGATTCAGCTCCAGAGGCAAGCTTTAGTTTTACTCCTTTGGTAGCTAAAGAAGTTAAAGTGTTTGTGTTGCTTCAGGTATTCAAAGCAGTTGTCTTTTTTTTTTGTTTGCTTCAACTTCAGGAAAAAAAAACATGTAGATGAACCCTTCAAACTGTTTATTTTCTGTCTTGAACTTGTATTTCTGTGTGATTGAAGCACAATGGAGACAAAAATGTGTGCAGATAGGCACTGGCTCGACCATTGGCTGGACTCTGACTGTTCAATGTTTTTTGGTCTCATTTATTGTTGTACCTGTTAGATGTCTGAAATAATTAGTGGTTTTATTTGTAAAACATTCCAAAACTAGTACACCTATACCAGTTTGTATCATCTTCTGTGCTACTATCTTAATATTTTCCTGTTTACAGAAAATATCAAATTGAATGTTTATCAGAGAACATTTGTATAGTTGATTTCTTTTTAATTACCAAGCTCAGTTTGTTCTCAGAAGTAAAAAATGTTGTGCGGCCTACATAAACAACCAGTTTTGTCTTATGTTTTTTTCCTATTGAAGTGTAGGTTTTGTGGTGTTTCTGCTCCAAACGTAGTCATTTTGACCATTTTAGTTTGGAAAGATTCAGTACAATAGCCGCTTATTTTACTGCCCCTTTAAAACAATAGATGTTTGAAGACAATCCATGATGCCTAAAAGTGCTCCCCGTTGGTCACATACACTCATTCCCTTCTTCCTGTGGGGAAAACAATCAACCTACATGTTCTCACGGGAATGACATTGGTGGCTGGGAGGAAATTTCCATGCCCTCAAAAATTAAGCATGTTTCGAGCTTGGAGAGCTCATGATGCAAAAAAAGTAGTAAAAATAATAACCATATGACTGATAACCATATAATCAAACCAATTCAAACAAGATTGACTTGCATAAACAGCGTCTCTGTTGTATTTCCAGAAACTTAAGGTAATTTTCTTTTTATTTGTAACTAAAAATGCTTGAGGTGGTTGCATCTTATCCAGCAGAATCGCACTTGCTGCATTTTTTTTTTTTTTTTTTTTACCTCTTCTGGCGTATTCCAGAGTTGGCAAACCATTTTAAGTGGATCAGCAGTACTTGGACTGAGACGACCTAGAATTTTTATCTGTCATGGAAATGAGTCCAAACAAAGTAGCTTGGGTCAAAAACTCCATGAAATATTAAAGTTTAAAGCTGCAGATTTTTTTTTTCCTCTTTGTGTATTTCTGTAGAACTAAACCATTGTTGTCTAATAAGCCACACAATAATCTCAAATTCAAACTTATAAAAAGATAAACGGCTAAAATATACGAATACTATTTCTCAACAGACAACAACAGACTGCCAATTTAACATTGAAGAGAGGAGATTCATCTTGTTGGTTTTTATATTTTTTTTCTTATAGTAAATTCTGTATACAATGATACCATGTGAGTTTGAGACTTCAAAATCTCCTTGTTCACCACAGACAAAACATGGCATATTTCAAACATAAGGGGTGTTCAGTTTATTATTACATTGTTGGAAAGATATCTGCTTTTATTTAGACTGTGAATGTTGGGTTAACATGTTTATTTATGCTGTTGATGAATGTGAGTGAGACTTCTGATTACATGACGCCCTGTATGCGATATGGTTTTGTAAATAATAGATGTTGTTTGTCTGTGCTAAACAAATAAATATGATTTTATCAAAGTGTTCTCAAATTATTTTGAAAAGATTAGGTCAAATGTTTGGATGCAACCTATTTTTAAATGCAGACAAGTGTCAGAATAAGTAAATAAGCAAAACATCTTGTCATCTTTTCCATCTTGAGATAAAAGCAAATAGTTGCCAGCTTATCTCGTTGGGAGCTGAGTAATTCGTGACATTTGTTCTGTTAATATTTTTTGCTGAATTTTCTAGATGATAAGTAGTAAGTAGAAAGTTCCCACCAACTGCAGGGAAAGAAAAGAAAAAAAAATACAGAAGCATATATGGTTTTACTTTCTCTTCTTTTAGATTTATTTTGTCGGGGCAGCGGGGCAGCTTCCTCCAAATACCACAAAATGAAGGGCATAAATCATTAAAATTTCATCATTTTACTAGTGCTGAGCTATAGCCATATGCTGATAACAGATTATTGTGTAAAGGATAAGTAATCAACCCTTATGGCAATAAAAGTGATGCAGGACTATTACAAACTTCTCTTTAATTCAAAGGTTTTCTCATTAAGAAGTAAAAACCTTGCACTCAGGGTTATTTGGGGTTTGGATCCTCAGCTTGTAGCAAGCCTGATAAATGTCACACCGTGCCATTTTGATGTCTCAGCAGGGTTCTTTAGGAGCAGAGAAAGGAAAACAAAATGACATGTCGGTTTTTGTGTCGAGTCAGAGAAAATCGAGGACATAAACAAAGAAGTTCTTGCTGCTCAGCGTTCTCATAGAAGCTCAACTCTGTGATTTTTATTTTCCTTCTTTTTGACACGCAATTAAATGCAAAGGCTACAGCTTTCCTATTTATGGCTGACTTCTGTTGAAGAGGTTGTAATTTTGCTAGAACACCATGTTTTGTTCCAGCACTTCACTTGCTTGGAAGTTTTCTTGTTTCCCTTTTTGTCAGTCTCTTTTCTTTCACAGCATCTGAGCCATGGTGTTGATTAGCTTTTATTGGTGTACTTCCTTGCTATCAAACCAGCTGCTTATTCTGTATTACATCTGTCACTCTTCTAACTATTTTTATCCATCGTAAATGTACTCAGAAAAGAAAAGGACAATGTTCTAAAAGCTCTCTAAGAAATGATTAATCCATCCTGGTTATTTTCTTGGTACATTTTAGTCCCTGTTTTATTGTTTAATATCATGTTCAAAGAACTTTCAAACATTTAAAAAGATGAATGCAACTTAATGCATACATAAATGGACATACATTTGGATATATAGACATCGGCAACTTTATTACCAACACTCGTTCTCATGGGACCGAATGGGAAAATTAGCTGTGGCCCAATGAGTTTCAACTTCATTGGCAACATTCAGATGCTTGTTGGTATAAAAAATATGAAAACATGGATTTATTTTATTTGTTGGTGGCGCAATGGTGTGGTGGATATTTTCCTGATGGACTTTAATGGATTCGCTGCATTGAAATGGTGCTGAATTGGTACTAAGTGAACCACGTTCAGCCCTTTATGCTCAAAGTGTAATTTATTTCAAATGGCTACTTCCTGCAGAAAATAATGTCCATTTCACAAAGCTCATCTTCTTAAGCATGACTCTTCACTGGACTCCAACATCCTTTCAATCTATTAGCGCTCCTGTGGGATGTGAGATTGTCCTACTGTCACAACAATATTAGAAAAATATTTAGAACGGATGTAATTTCAATATTATGAGCACAATCCCAACATTTTTCTCACTCTTCTTTTTCTTCTCCATTGTCATAATATAATTATCACTGATGAGCTTTTTCAGCTTAGTCACTGAGATCGTTTTGAGAACAAAACTGCTGAAAGACAATCAAAGCAGCCGCACATAGACTTTTGGCTAGCAGAGTTTGACTGCTTATTTCACTTTAGAAATATGCTGACATTCTTAAGAGATAAAGACATCTCAAACTGCTTTGTCAAAATAAAAACAATGTTAGTTCAAAATACACACTGAGGTAAAGTTACGTGTTGCTACCTAATACACATATGACAGTATTGGTATTTTTGTGATTGTTGTGTGCAAATGAATCCCAGTTATAAATTCTCCTTTACAGTCAACCTACTTTTACTAGTATTACTGGAAGCAGTAATATTTCTCATATAATTGTCACTCTTTCTAACACACTAATAATGTCTTCTCTTTTAAGGCTTTATGCTGTTAAGTTCAGAATGCTTTACACTTAGATAAGGTCGTTAACGAAGAAAACAAAATTTAAGTGTACCTAATGAAGCAACTGGTGGAGATATATGTTGCATATACTCACAGGAAAATGTGTGTTGGATTTTTTTTTAAAAAGGCAATCGGTTAAAACCATCTCTAGCTTAGGTTTTTATTGAAATTCTCACTTTATGTACTTGTTTGTAATCTAAATTTGTAATTAGGACATTAACATTTGAATTCTTAAATTTACAATTTAGTCAAAGCTTTATATTTCTACTTGATTATAAACAGGCAAATTCTATTAATCTTTTTTACGCACTGCTCAATGGGATCTAATTGCCCACTGGACAAATTACATATTTTACGTCCAGAAAATTCTGCATCTACAGGAAGTGACTGGATTTTTTTTTTTCTGGGTGTGTGGTAGGTTTTCGGGGTTGAGTTCATTAAACTTTAGTGCTTTTTCATCTACTCAGCAACTCCTTAGTACTGTCATTCCAAAAGATCTGACTCCCTCTCTCTCATTTAATTATAGCAGTGTGTTAGAATACAGGCTGGAAGTTCTGACCAGGCACCACAAAATGTCTTGAAATCAAATTGCCAATTTTAAAATTGTTCGTCATGTCCTTGTCAAAGCTATAAACTCAGCATCTTATTTACCCTATTTATAGAATTAAAAATAAAACATTGAACAAGTTATCCATATATGCTGATACTGTTGGCAATGTTCTGTAGATGCAAAGCAGAATTCTTCAGCCTTAACAACAAATCTTTTTCTGTATTCACCATGTGGGATTTTCTAAACACTTATTTTCTTTCCTGGACTCCAGTTTCTGCTTCAATAAATAACAGAAAGAAACTAGAATCAGTGATGATTACTAAGTGCTTGAGGATTAGGTTTGCTGTAATATGATCCAAAATATAATCCTAATTACCTTTTTACTGAATGCACACCTATTTCTGTGCTGCTTCTAGCTTCTGCACAGTAGCATGACACTCTGGATATGTTTGCTCTTCGCCTCTCACGCAACAGTCATTAGAAGTTGCTCTCCAATAGAACAGACAGACGGACAGAGGGGAAGCTAATTGACCATTAAGTCAGAGGTCTTTGTTCATTCTCTCAGCACTTCAGTTAAGTATGGCTAAGTGGCTGCTTGTCTAAACATGGATTGTTATCTTTTACTAGGAAACTGCAGTCAAGTTTAATATGCCCCTCACACTGGACCATTTATTTAAATTCGTCTGAAAAAAGAGATATTAGGATCTTTTAAGATTCCTTTGCCAATCAGGTTTGTAGTACCAAGTCCTAAGATTTTTCTTTTTTCTTTTATCTTTATAAACATTCCCAGAGGGAACTTGCCAGAAGCAGGTTTTTCCCTGGTGAAATAACCTTCAGCAGAGGAACGATCCAGACGGTCTGACCCTCTCTTCAGTGTTTGATTTTTTTTCCCCTCCTGTTGGAGCGTCACACTTTGACCTGTTCAGCAGGTTTCATTTTCTGTGCAGGGTATTAATAAACCTGACTCAGTGATTTTCACCTTAGCAGTGCTTGGTAATTATTTTCCCACAACAGTACTTAGGCGGGTAAGATGACTTCACTGATGAGAAAAAGATAAGTTTCTGAATTTTCCAACCTAATCATCAGTCAAAACTGGTTAAACCGAAAATTGTGCCGTCGCCAGTAGCTTTTTCTCAAAGCTGGCCATTAAATTAACCTCTAAATAATAAAACTACATTGCATAAACTACTAACTACATGTACATTTTAAATCTCATTTCAAATGATGCACTTTAGACATTATTTCCTAATGAAGTTGTCTAACATTACTTATTCAAAGTTAATTTTATCCTCATGTGTTGGTAATCAATAACAAAATGAGGCATCATTAATCTTTGAAAAGCAAGTCCAGTTCTTAAGCAGTGCTTACTGATTTCAGTGTGGTTGTTACTCTGTGCTGGTCTTTCATCACTTCAAATAGATATGAGGCACAGGTTTCCCCAGGCTTGTGTTCAAACTGGCTCCAGATGAAATCTATCGTTTTGTTTGTGTATCGTGGTGTTGAAAAATCCTGCCAACAACAGTTTCCTCTTTTCATTTTTTTTTTTTTTTTTTAAGCGATCAAGGTTATTTCAGGGTAGAAGGAGATGGTCCTGGGTACTTTGTTTCAAAATATTGTATTAACTATTTTATTTTATAGTCCCAAAATGAGCACTTTAGTATCCTTTTACTTTTATTGCACTTGATTATAACTTTATTGGTGGTATTCTACTAAAGCTGCTCAATATCTGCCAGATTATTTGCTTTAAATTTTCATTTGGTGTGTTGCAGAAAAATAAAACTGCAAATCTCATTGTTCTGCTTTCTTTTTTATTTTTATTTTTTATAAATAATTAGTTCATAATGTTTTATAAGGGGGTGTCATATGCATTTAGCTCAAAATGTACTGCTCTCCACTCATTTGAAACCTGATTTCAGTTCCTCCATAATGCCTAAATTAGATCTCACTTCTTTAAAAACAAAAGCACCAAAACACAGTTTATTCCTAATGAATCATGCTGCCAAACTGAAAGGAAGAGCTATCAAGTTATATTCACATCTTACCACATCAGCTATTATTGCAACTGAGATTGTCAACGTTGCAAGTTTGGCCTTTAAAAACAAACCAGTTCAGTATCATTCAGGAAATTATACTTCAATCTGTTAGTTATCAGAAGGCCTTTTAATCATTGTGAAACAAGTCATTGTATCAGAAAATTTGCTTGAAGTGGAGTCATAGTGACATGAAGTAAGTTAGCTTTGTGGTTTGTCGTTGACAACGTGCCATTTTAGTAACGCTTTATAAAAGTGTTACCCCCAGTCACTGTTAAGTTGTGAGAACTTCCGAGTCT